GAGAGTTATAAAAAATCATTTGTGTGGTATTTTGAGCTAAAACTTTATATATGAGGGAGCTCAGAGACTTACATTTGGTAAAAATTGATGTAATAAAAATCTTTCTGTTCCTCTTTTTTTTTTTTGACACTGTCAAGTGCACCTAATGTTTCTGTGAAACCCTGCCGAATAATTGCAATTTTTAGTTTACCCCTTGCTGACAGTTTATGTAACCAATATTATCACCTTTGCCTCATTGTTAGCCAGAAGGCAAATATTGCTAAATTGGAAGTCTTCATGTGCCCCTGCAAATCTGTCCTGGTTGGAGGACCTAATGTCTTTTTTTACATTTGGATGTAATGAAATATTTTATTATAGGGTTTATTTTATTAATCTTACTTTTAATGATGAAATCCATCTCCCCCCATTTTTTTCTTCTTTTATTACTAACATAGCAGGGTTCAACACTAAGGATTTTTTCTAGTGGTTCAGATTTTTACTTGTGCTGCCAAAATTTCTCTGGCCCCACCAAAAAAAAGAAGTTTGCCATTTAGTTATTCAGCATAACTTTTCTTTAAATACAACTGACAATTTAAAAAATGATTTAATGTAAATACAATACTGATTAGATAATTAAAGTAAATGATTTAGTTGAAAACAACTGCAATTTTTTTTACTTTTGTTTGTTTAAAACGCACCAAAATGCCTAATTTTAGAAACCGGCTCATTACATCAGTCTTCAATACTGTGAATATTTTTTTTATTTGTAAACCTAGATTTAAAATGCATTTCACTTCTTGTTCCTGCTTAATCCATTAACATAATAATTATATTAGACTAAGCTTTAATCAATTATGACCTTTGAGTTTTTTTAATTAATTTTTTTATGTAGATTAAGTATGCTAAAGTCTATGAAGGGGGTTCGTGCAGGGGTGCATTTCTCGGCACAACACCGGGACTGCAGTCAGATCATAAAGCAATGTTGATCTTTCTTTTGAGGTGTCGAAATGAACAAAACAGTTGGCATAATACAAAATGTAAGATTAAAATATGGAAAAATTATCAGATGATAATTTGGGTAGATTTTTTGTTTACGGTTAATGGATAAACAGCACTCGGCAATATTTCAGCATGCTTCCACTTTCATATTAGACATGAAACACACATTTGCCGGTAGAAATGACATCCAGCCCTACTCATCATTCTCTCTTCATATAGCCGAATATATGGCTATTACACAACCATAATACACTGTGATATAGCCTGGTTCGCTGGATCGTTTTGTTTCACAACAATCGAGCCAAGATCTCCTCATTCTGGCGTTTTCAGACCGATTGATCTGGCGCCGACTCAAGCACAATTGCAGGATTCACATATGCCACGAACCGCTCTCACCAGGCAAACGAGTCATGTTCCGTAACAAACATCTGGGCATGAAAGCACACAATTGACAAACAGTCGCAGCCAAATTAAACTTTAGTGACAAGGCAGCACTGGCCTCGATTGGGCCAGTAACCATTCTGTATGCTGTCCCGAGCATCTTGCATGCTGGCTTTTTTTTTGTGGGGTCAATTTGGGTTGGGATAAGGGTAATGTTTTTGTTGTTAGCATAACTGTATTTCAATATTAGTCTGTATGTTAAAAACCAGCAGATTATTCTATGCATTACATACTTAGTCATCCTTATTAAAATCGAAACACCATAAACACAAATTAAAATCAATTTTAGAAACAGTAGCTACATTAAAAAGCTCATTTAAAAATGCCAAAACTATAGCTATGGAGTCCATCCAGTCATCTAAACGCTTATAAACCAACAAATCTGCTGTGTTTCAATATACCCATGTTCCTTTTTACCCCATGCCACAGATTAATTGGCGTATGTCATGGCGCGGCTTAGCACTTTCTGCATCTCGCTATCTGCGTGCCATGCAGATCTATGTAATTTAATTATAGCACACCTGCCAAACTAAAAAGTATCGACCTTGTAAGCCTGCCATGGTGCTTGTACGACCTTGTCTTCCTCTCGCCGACCCGTTTGCCTTCCCTCCCACATGCTGGCTCGGAGATTATCACCTGGTTTGAAAATGCAAGCGCTCTGCTAAAGCGTTCATTTGGATGCAGGACACATTCGGCAGGAGATGAATGCCACTGTCCTGACCCTCTAGAAAAACACTTTCATTTTTTTTTCTTTCCCCGATACGCGCCGATCCGTGATCGATGACCAGGCAGCTCAAATCCAGGTGGGGTGGTTGGGTTATGGAGAAGTCGATGATAAAGACATGTGGGTGGTGTATAAGAAGCATCCAAAACACAACTTGTACTGATGCTGGCGACTATAGCAGTGCTTGGCTTTTTTTAGCTGACTTTGTAGGAGTTGGAAACATGACCAGTGGTGGTATGGTTTTTATACAACCATGTGAGATTGTATTTGCCATATTGTGGTATGTTTAATTTATTATTTGTATGTACAGTGCTCATAATTGAGCACACTTTATTTTGAAAATGATTTTTTTCATTGAATATAGGCAATATATCTGACAAAAGCAGATTTATTAAATGAATATATTTATTAAATTATTATTTTTGTCTCCAAACATCTTTAGAAATAGGAAAATTATACATTTAACAATCACAACGCTGTATCTTAGCAATAGGTAAATAGTGGTTTAACCTTTTTGCGACAATCTAGATTTATGCAACATACTTAGAAATCATGTCAGTGGATTTTACACCCTTTTTACAACCCAACACACATTCCCCGGCTCCCAGATGAATCCTCAGTTATGGACTGTTGCTTCGAGTCACTCGTTAAAAATGTTTTCACATTGCTGCGACATTGTTTTCTCAGTTATGACTGATGCATACAGTCTGCTTATAATCAACTACTCTTGTAAATGATATAAAGCTAAAGGAAAAAAAATAAGAGACCCTTTAACAAACTAAATAATGTCAACTAAATTTTATTCATATTTTAATTTATTAATATATATATATTTAATTTAATATAATTAATTTATTATATTTAATTTATTGAAAATATATTTAATATTTTTCCCTAACAAATAAACAAATTTGTGTGTATTAAGCTTCCTATAGAAAATATTCATTTAAATGAGAGATTTGTGAGGGCTTTACCCTATGAGACAATTCTGTACCAATTTTTAAATTTGAGTTCATAATATATATTTATTGTTGAACAAAAGTATCAAATATAGAGCCTTTTTAGTGGTGTTATATATTTTAGTGGAGCCTTATTTCTGTGGTGTTATATATAAATATATCTCATGGACTATGACTAGCCAACATGCACCATTCTTTACAGGCTTGTGCACAGACCCTTACACGAGGAGCACCCCCCTGTGCACGGCCCTGATTCTATATTTCTTAAGTAGTCAACATCTAAAGTGGGGAAAAAATATTATACAGAATGAAAAAAAGTCGAGTCCTAGCTGGTTCAGTTGGCAATTCGGTGTGGAGTTTGCATGTTCTCTCAAATGTTGCTTTGGGTTTACGCCGGATGCTTCTTTTTCCCCCACTGTCCAAAGACATGCGCTATGGTACAATAGAATAAACTAAATTGGCCGTAGTGTACGTGTGTGGTGTGCATGTGAGAGTTTGTATGGGTGTTTCCCAGTGCTCGGTTGCAGCTGGAAGGGCATCCGCTGTGTAAAATATATGCTGAAATAGTTGGTGGTTCATTCCGCTGTGGCGACCCCTGATGAATACAGGAACTAAGTTGAAGGAAAATGAATGAATGAATGAATGATTGGATTTGCACAGTATAATAAAAAAGAAATATAATGATTATTATTATATTTTATGCATTAGTTAATATTATTTAATTGTTTTAATATTATTTAATTACCTTAAAATTATGTTACTAAAAATGTATGCAAAAATGTCAGTATTGATTACTACACATTTGTTTGTATGATAAGTTTAGATTGAACTTAAGTGTTGACTACTATATTTATATAACGTGCTTAAATTATGTTATCAATATTATTATGCTTTCTTTTAAGTTTTTACTTTGTGATAATTTGTACTCTAGATTCTGATTGGAGCCTAATTAAAATCCTAAATTAAATTGAAGTGTGGTTATTTAATCATTCAAAAATCCCCAAACAATAAAAATCTTCTGTGGACAAAGTTACATACAGCTGAAGTCTGAATTATTAGCCCCCTTGTTTATTTCCCCCCAATTTCTGTTTAACTGAGAGATTTTTTTTTAACACATTTCTAATCATAATAGTTTTAATAACTCATTTATACTAACTTATTTATTTTATCTTTGCCATGATGACAGGGAATAGTATTTGTCTAGATATTTTCAAGACACTTCTATACAGCTTAAAGCGACATTTAAAGGCTTAACTAGGTTAATTTGATTAACTAGGCAGGTTACGGGTAATTAGGCAAGTTATAATGATTGTTTGTTCTGTAGACTATCAAAAGAAATGTATAAAGGGACTAATAATTTTTTTCCATAAAATGGCTTTTTAAAAATTAATGCCTGCTTTTATTATAGCCAAAATAAAACAAATAAGACTTTCTCCAGAAGAAAAAATATTATTAGACATACTGTGAAAATTTCCGTGCTCTGTTAAACACCATTTGGGAAATATTTCAAAAGAAAGAAAAATCGAAGGGGGGCTAATAATTCTCACTTCAACTGTATATATTGTGTGTTGCAACATTTAGTTTGATTCTCAGTTGGGTTGATTTCGCGACTTATCTTTTAGTTCTTTTCAGTTTTTCCGAACTTAAGCACATAATTACGGCCATCCTCTAACACAACAGACCAAAGCACCTGTACAGGAATAGAACAAAACACTGATGATTAATTGTGCACTTAAATAGGTTTCTTATAGAGATGAGAAAAAGACTGACTTGGGAAACGATGGGAGTCTTTGTACAGGGTCTTTGGTACATTCATAATGAATTCCTTTGAGGAGACATGATGAATGGATTGTCCTGTGGCTTTTGTGCTAATGTTCTGGATGTTAAATACTTAACAGAGCTCTGACGCTGGCCGAAGACGAAGGCTGACTGATCTCATGACTCACGACTGGACAATGCTGGAAGAAATGACCTCAAGGTAAGCTTCTCCCAAAAAAAGCATCTTGCAAAGTGTTGGGTGAGTTGCTAATTATATAATTTAAATGACTTTTCTAATTACCTTGTCTGAAAAGTAATTAAAGTTCTCAATAAGTAATTTGATTACTTGACTGATTTATAATCTCAATAAATCTCAGTGCAGACAACACTTTATTATTCTATAACACAATCAGTTTTATAAATATGAGTCAAACTGGATCTTTTTTATTATTTAAAAAAAAACACACTTAATGTTAAACATTATATTTGTAAAACAAAACATCACACCACATGCTGTACATGCACACCATATATAGATAAACATTTTGTACTTATTTATTATAAGCAATTGTTTTTTATGTTAAAAATCTGTTTATTATTAAAATATCTGAATATGTTTTTATTTTAATTTAATTTTTTCCTATGCTCAATATCTGAATATCTAGTTATATTTTTATATACAAAATATCTGTTTTTATTTTTAAAATTGTTGATGATGCTCACAATATCTGAATATCTGGTTATATTATCATTACTTTAAAAAAAAAAAAAAAAAAAAAAAAAAAATATATATATATATATATATATATATATATATATATATATATATATATATATATATATATATATATATATATATATTTTATTTTTTTTTTTTTTTTTTTTTTTTTTTTACATAATATATCCGTTATCTGTATACATGTTTGTATATATCTGTATAAATGGTTTATTTTGCAACAAATCTGAATATCTGTTCATACTATTATTTATAAAATCTGTTTATATATTTTAAAAATGGTTTATTATGCAAATTATTTGAATATATACGTTTATATTAACATTTATAATACATCTGTTTTTTAAAATTGTTTATTAGACAACATTTCCAAATATTTGTTTATATAATTATCTATAATATATATGTTTTTATTTAAAAATGGTTTACTATGCACAAAATCAGAATTTCTGCTGAATTTATACAGTATATATATATATATATATATATATATATATATATATATATATATATATAATGTTTTTAACTTTATTTGTAATATTTGTAATAACTTTCAATTTCTATATTATTTTTCTGGAACTAATTTCTTACTTAATTTGTTGCTTCTCTTGTGCATGCTATTATTTTAATTATGCAAATATATGTATTTTATAACAAATTTATAGATAACTATGTAAATTACCTAAAAATGAAAAGTAATCTTGTACTTTACCTTTTCATTGGAAAACTAATGTAATTACAGTAACTGGTAACTTTTTAACTTACTATATGTTGTCGTAATTACCTGCAACATGGGGAATGTGTTACCACCTTCATGGTGAATGTGTGAACGTTTGCATTCAAAATTGAAGAGTTGTCAGCCAATAATCAATAATTCTGGGTGTTGTTTGATTGCCTTTTAATCCAATTTTACCTGCGGCTTTCATTTCTTTTTTCCATATTGCTTCATCTCTAGGTGAAGGAAGCTCACTGCCCTAGTTCCAATCTGCTGCGCTGTCAAATCTTAATGGATTTTATGATCAATGGTTTTGAGACCAAACCACTTTATTTTCTTGTTTTGTTTGTGTTCTGTCTGCTGTTTTTTTTTTCTTTCTTATACCAAGATAAATTACACAGAAGCGATTGTGCTCCTTTTTCTTCCACCGCTTCTGAATTCACCTCTCGAATGCGGGCCTACGTCTGAGAAAACCAAAATCCAAAACCATTTCACGGGCCAGTGCTTGGGTGGTTGCAGAGGGACCTTTTGCTTCTCAAAGGCTAGCACAAGTGGCCACTCAAGCAAAATGGCTCACATCTTTATTTTTCCTTAAGTATAAATATGCACATATGCATTTTATCCTGCTCTATTAATATTAGTTAGCAGTTTTGTATGTGGCATAATACATTTGCAGTATAAAAAATCTATTAACGTTAACATTAAGCTCTGAAAAGTTTCATGGACAACAAATATTCATTTGCAGAACTAGTATAACTCTTGCACATTTGCACAAAATTTATTTTGGTGTTTAGACATGAACAATTTCTGTAGAATCTACAGTAACTTGCTGGCACCAGTAACTTACTGTAAATCAATTACAGCAGAAATACTGTGTTTACATTTACAGCACTATTTATCTTGCAGCATGTACAGTATTGTATCTTTACTGTAAACAGTACTTTTCCAACTTTAAAGTATAGTAAAATACCGCATAACTGTGCTACAGTGAAATACAGTTCATATTACAGTTAAATATTGTATCATTAAAATCAATGCATTTTCAAACCCATCCGCATTTTTAGGCCCCCCAAAATGTTATTGTCATGTAAACGAGCAAGCCAAATGCATAAAATGTTCCTTATAAACATCCCTTCAACGTCAAAAATGGTCCACGCACCATTTTATCTGCATTTTGTTGGACAAAAGCCATTGCTTTCTCCTTATTTGGAAACTTAATCTATCTGTCAGAATGGCTTTACATGGAGATTATCCAGATTACGTCTGAATACCATATTTCTAGCAGCGCATGTTTGTTTTCTCCTTGATGAGTGTTATTTGTTGGTGAGTGGGATGGAATAAAATGCAATTTTCTGTCATGCAAATCAAGGAGTGTGTTTTTAATCAGACATATGGAAAGGAATTTGCATGTGCATTTGCAAAATGTATCATGACGGCTATGTAAGTTTGGGCCCTATTTGCAATATGGGAACTATATATTAGGATTTAATAAACGTATTAGTGTCTATACATTTCATCATTTTTAAATTAAACTATTTACTTTTTTAATGTTTGTAATTTTGTTATTGTATTATAAAGTAACTGTTGTTATTTATACACATTTTAGGTTGCATTTTAACACTGTTTATAAACTTTTCCACAGAGCTCTGAGCACCTTGAAGGTCCTGGGATGCATTTTGAAAACTCCTGCATTAAGGTATGGAGATTATATTGTTGGAAACCTCTAAATAGGGTCCAAATTTAGACTTTACAGACCTGAAACTTGCTTATAGCACTTATTCATTGTTGCTCTTAGTTGTGTAAATTGCTTCCTTGTCCTCATTTGTAAGTCGCTTTGGATAAAAGCGTCTGCTAAATGACTAAATGTAAATGTAAATGTAAATTGTATCTTAAATGTCATTGTAATAGTTTAACTCATTGCTTCGAAAAACAAATGATGTGTTCAGTATGCCAATTTAAATATAATAAATAAAATTTAAATAAGCGGCACGGTTTCTTGGTGGTTAGCGATGTCGCCTCACAGCAAGAAGGTTGCTGGTTCAAGTCTCGTCTGGGTTAGTTGGCATCTCTGTGTGGAGTTTGCATGTTCTCCCTGTGTTATTGTGGATTTTCTCTGTGTGCTCCGACAGTCTAAAAGATATGTGCTATAGTTGAATTGGATGAAATAAATTGGCCATAGTGTATGAGTGCATGTGTGAGAATGTATGGGTGTTTCCCAGTTCTGGGTTGCGGCTGAAAGGACATCCGCTACTTAAAACATATGCCGAAATAGTGGGCGGTTCAATCTGCTGTGGTGTTCCCTGATATATAAGGCACTAAACTGAAGGAAAATGAATGGAATTAAATGAATGTAAATTGTAGTATGTAGTTTGATGACACTCAATTGGTGCATGAGTTTGTGCAAATCCTCATAATAATGATTGAAAATGATCCAGATAGAAACTAAAGTGAAAGCACAGTGCAAAAAAAATGCTTTGAACAATTTTTTTAGTCTTGTTTCTAGTCCAAATATCTAAAAATTCTCAAGTCAAGAAGCGTTTTCTAGACTAGTAAAGAAAAAAAAAGATTTTTTTTGCAGTGTTGGGAAATCAAACCTTTATTAATTTTACCAATTTTACCTTTATTTAATTTCCCAAATATTTTTATTTGTAGTATTTTTGTATTTTTTTGCTACAAATTAAAATATTTTCAATGTGCACCCTAAACTAAGTTAGCATAAACACTTTCCTTTATTCATTTCACATGTCCTAAATTATTATTATTATTATTATTATTATTATTATTATTATTTTATAGATTATTATTGTTATAGATTTATTATTATTATTATTATTATTATTATTATTTTACATTTATTATAATTTAAAAAATATTATTATTATTATTATTATTATTTTACATTTATTATAATTTAAAATATTATTATTATTATCATTTTATATTTATTATTATTATTATTATTATTATTATTATTATTATTATTATTATTATTATTATTATTATTATTATTATTAAACCAGCTTATTTTCTGGCAAAAAATCAGAATATTTTTAATATGCACCTTTCTCTAAATCCTTTGGAACAGCATTTCGGCTCTCTAACTAAAGCCCGGCCAAACTATAGTGCTGAGCACAAATTGCCTGATAAAATGAAGAAGTAAAATCAGTCATCAAATTGTTAGTATAAACGCTTTCCTTTATTCATTCCACATTTCCTAAATTATTATTATTATTTTTATTTTTAAATCAGCTTATTTTCTGGAATAAATGAAAACATTTTCAATATGCACCCTTCTCTAAATCCTTGAAAACAGCATTTCAGCTCTCTAACTAAAGCCAGAGCAAACCATAGTGCAGTGCACAAATTGCCTGATAAAATGAAGTAAAAACAGTCATCAAATTGTTAGCATAAACGCTTTCCTCGTGGAGTGATTGCACGGAGAGTATTTCTGCGAAGAGGCAGAGAGACGGCAACATTTCAATGGTTTCACTGTTTCCATGGCGATGCCGACTTCAGCCTCGCTTTCGCTGTTGTCATGAAGCTCTCTGCCCTCGCTCGGGGTTCACAGTCCACATGAAAGCATCAGGAGAGGATTCTTGGCTGTTTCGGAGAGGGATGTCAACAGACTAATAATTGGGCCATCATGCCCTCGGTGAACGCACGCCGACTGTTTCCTCAAAGCACATCACAACGATCAACCGTTCTCTTCATCTCTGACTTTTTACCACAGTGACAATTGTTAACTGTCAGTGTTTTTTTTTTGTTACACGCCAACAATGCATCCTCCTCTGATGCTGGTTATTTCAGTGATCTTATTACCACTACAATATCTATTTTCCCTTTGATATCTTTGCTAAGCCTTTAGGTGTAAACATTGAGCTACTGTACCAGTCGGCATGCATATTAATCAACAATCAATGTTTGATGTGAGGCATTGCTTCCTGTTTATATTTCCTCTGTGCATCAAGGCAGATCTTGGATTTCTTCTTAAATAGTGGAGAAGAACACTAAAAACACCAAGGGAATCCAAGAAATCGATGCATAAATGCAGTCTGCCTTTTTCAGGAGATGTATTAATACCGTGTTTTTTTTTTTTTTTGAGGGAAAATGCTCCATGTGTTTTTATTGGATCTCCAGAAAAGTGTCTCTGTGCATGTTAAACAGTCTAAGGCCCCGTTTACACTAGTGCGTTTTAGTTTGAAAACGCATAAGTTTTGCTACGGTTACGCCATCCGTCCACACTACGCCGGAGTTCTCGAGCGCCGAAAACGGAGCTTTTTGAAAACGCTGGAGAGGCCGTTTTCATTCTAAAACGCTGCTGCTCCGTCTCAGTGTGGATGGGGAAAGACGGAGACATCTGAAAACGGAGGCGGGGCTGCCGACGTTCGCCTATCTGATTGGGGCTTTTCCTCAATATTAAGTAGCCCACACACAGTTCAGTCTCGCATCCTCTTCTTGTAAGTTAAGACTTCGCAAGTTTGATCAAGGCTGCAGTCTCCCCCTTCTCAGTTTGATATAGAAAACATACCGAGGACACGGGTAAATCTTCAAAGGGAACAGTGTACTTTATAACTTCATTCACATCACCTTGGCTACGTGGTTTCACTTTCTCAACAATAAAATGTAAACATGATTTAAGAAACTGCCTATTTTCTTTTTAATATTAGCAACTTAACAGACAGCAGAAATGTTGAGGCGCCGTGCTGCATATATGAGCGTCATCTTCACTGTGTGGATATTTATAACAAAACGGAGCCGATAGCAACTGCCTCCTTTCAATTTCAGTGAAAATACGAAACGCACCCTCTCTTTTGCTGAATATCAGTTTTAATAATCGATAATTATAAAAGTATAACATACAATAAGTTTATACATTGTAGGAAATAAAGACAAGCGATCAGTCAATGTACCTGGATTAATCATTAACTTTGCGCTTAACCAAAACATGTTACCCGTGAACAAGTAACTTAATAGATTCCAATGACCAAAGTCAGGGAATTGGCCTATGTCGTTAGATAAAGACAACAACATGAATGAAATATCACGTTTAGCAAATATAGCGAGATTAGATCCAACGGGAGATGCTTGATGAGCAGTCCGACAAGCAGAGCTCTCATCTGGGTAGAAATGCTGGAGCGCTTGCCCGAGAGTGTCTGTGTGGTCACGTGATGTGCGTTTTCAGCGTTTTGGTGTGGACGGAGAGCAGTTCAGAAACGCTGGGTAAAACGCGAGTGTGGACGCGGATCGTTTTCATTCTACAACGCCGTTTTAAAACTAAAACGCACTAGTGTAAACGGGGCCTAAAATGCATGGTTTGTGACCATTCACGCAATTCTGCAGGCATCCTTGCAGTCTAATGCTTGTGAAATGATCATTTAAGAGGGGTTTGACCAATCAGGAAACGATATAACATATAGTCCACAACATCAGTCAGAGCAGCATCAACAAGCCACTCCACTGTTTTCAACAGTCTGGTGTTTATAGAAATGCAACACCAGCATTTCCAAATTAAAATGTTGTTTTTAACATTTTTGATACACTCCTTAGTAACACTTTAGAGTAATGATTCATTATTTCATGTATTTACTAACATTAAGTATGAATACTTATTTATTAATCATTGTTCAACACTAATGCATTTTTTAAATCAAAAGAAGCTGTGTTTGTTATTGCAGTTGTTAATGCACAGCAGGGTTCCTGCGGGGTTTTACAATTTCTTAAATTTCTAAATCCAAAATTTAGGCCTTAAAAAGTCTTAAATTTACTGAAATATTGTGTTGTTGGTCTTAAATCTTTTTTTAAACAGGTTTTAATTTTTCTTGGTTCATGTATGGCTTTCAAATCTGGCCAAGACCCATACAATCACCAACAACCAATCTCAATAAAACTTTTAACTTTTTATTTAAAAAAGGTAATTTTAACTCTATTTATCATGGTTTAATTATTTTCCCAACAGTCATATTTGTTTAAAAGTTCTCCATGTATTTACTGCTGATAACACCGTCTTGGACAGTTTGTTTTGCATAGATTTAAGTTTTTTTTTTATTTATTTATTAGTTTTTTTTTTAGTTTTTAGAACTTTTAAAACATTTGTTCATTATTTACATTATTTAAAAAAAAAAAGGTTTATGCTGGAAAATTGTATGGATTTAAGTAGATTTTGCTTGTTTTTGCAGATTATTTAAAATATTCAGCTAAAAAGCAAAATCTAAAATATTTGTATTTTTATTATTAATGTATTGTTGTATTATTAAATATACTAAATTATAATACATTTTTGATAGGACATTATTTGCCTAAAATTTCATTCATAATGGTCTTAGAGATGTCTTAAAAAGTCTTAAATTTAATTCTGTGATACCTGCAGAAACACTGTGCACAGTTAACATGAGTTAATGCTTTTAACCACTTAAAGACAAGTACTATTTTGGTCTTTCCTCCAGCATTTGCCTATCCAAATTCAAAAGCTTCCCAAATTCACATACAAAGGTTTAAATGCAAAAGTTTGTTGTCATTTTAAAGAAAGCCCTTTGAATTTTCATAAAACACTATTGAAAGTAATTAAAATAATTGTATATGTTGTCTGTGTTAAACCCATCCAAAAAGATGAAAAATGGTAAGAAAAACAACTAACAATGCAATTTTAAACAACATGTCTCACTAAAAACAATACTATTTTTTTTTTTGTTGTTGTTGTTGCTTGTTCAAACTACTTATTTAAAATGAGTTGAAACAACACAATTCTTGAGATTTCATTGGGACAATTTAATCTTTTTATGTTAAATCAACAAAATTTGTTAAAAGTGTTAAGTTAACTTAATGAGACAACATGAATAAATTGTGTGGAACCCTGCATTTTTTACAGTGAGAAGTTTTTTAGAGCATATTTGATGCATAAGAAGTTAAAATGCAAACCTATATATCTATTATTTCTTAACTAAAAGTAAATAAGTCTATAAACTACTGTTTATTGCAATAAGTAAATTACAAGATGTTATTTTTATTAAATATTCATGTTAAAAATATAATTCTAAAGTTTTTTTTTTTTAAATCTATCTAATATTTCCAGCCAAGTTTTAGTGAACTTGCAATATTGTTAAAAACACAGAACTTTCTGTTCTGAAAAAGGCCAAAATACACGCAAGATCATTCACATATTTCTCTCATCTTCAACTAACACAAACACTTTTGAAGGGATACCAATATTGACCAATAAATGTTTTCCTATTTAAAACTAATTACAGTGACATCTCCTGTGTATTCTGCAGCCTTACAGTTAAGCAGCCATTCAGGGAGTGATCTATACCAGCGGACGCAACGTATGCTGGTGATTTTTCACTGGTCTTTTCTGTAGGGGTTGTGCTGGCTTTGTCAAAAGTGGCAGCAAGCCCACAGTTACAAATGCGTTGTCCATCATAATCCTAGCGCCATTGCAGAATTCCCTCAGCGGCCTGGTCCCCAGGACCTCTGCTGCTTTCTTTCCATGAATCATGTCCAAGTGCGTGGTAAACAACCTATTAAGTGACCTATTTGTCCGTGGCCAGTTCTGCTAGCTCACTCACGGCAATTACTTTGGCTGAACGTCTGCGGTGGAGCACTTCAGAATGCTTCGCTTTCAAATCGATGACCGACCCCGCTCACTCCCTCTTCCAGAAAAGCACAAGCACTCTACTGTAATATTAAGATTGCATGGAGTGCTCCAAGGCTGTACTGTAAACGTACGGCAGACTCATTGGCTGCGCTTCAAAAGCATTAGAGCTGTCTAACTTGGGTTTGATCAGTAAACTCAATCGGGGTTAACATCTACATTCCCGCTTCAAGGTATGACATTGTGTCCATAACAGATGGATATTTTGATGGATATTGATGCTTGGTGGTCAGGTGCCATGCACTGGAAGGATCTCACAGTTGCACCAAGAGCCACTCAACCGCACGGATGTCACTTCCATTTAGTTATGAAGTTTGTGGCTGTACATTTCCTGCAATCGAGCCGTCAGCCGCTGTCAATCACAGGGAATGAACGACACTGCTGATTGCACCGCTGGTAATTATAGAGAACACTGAAAGCGCTGCTGTGTCAGAGAAATCTGTTATTTTTAAGCATGCATTTCTCATGTGTTCCTGGAAGGATTTACAGAAAAAAATGCATCTCCAAGCACTAAAGCAATCATTATCATTTGCAGAGGCAATATATGATTCAATTGGGGGAACGTTTTCAAGTAAAAGGGGATAAATGTGGTCAAAAGTACACTGAGTTTGGAGACATTAAATTGCTCCATTTTGCTTCTCTGTATGAATCGGAGGTTTATTGTGTCCATCTCTATGTATTTGCAGAGCTTTTAGTGGCCTCGTGAGAGCAAAATGCTGGAGGATAGTGGGTTTAGTCCATGCCTGTTAGCTTTAAAGCATCTACTGGTGTACTCCAGAAGTTCACAAAATTTACGGTCTTTTTCTTTCCTTCAGATGGAGAAAAGAAAACAAAAGGATGAGGGGGTAATGGGGTTGAGAGTGACACAGATACTTTAGTTTTGAAATGCCAGGTGGATATGTTTTTGGATTCTTTTTGTGAGTTGTCTACTTTAACAAACACGTTCTGTTTGGAAGAGGGTGAGAGTTGAATAGTAAATTTGGTGGTCTGTGAAAGCAAATTACACAACCTGACAAAAGTCTTGTTGTCTATCCAAGTTTTAGGAACCACAAATAATCGCTTGACTTCTAGTTGATCATTTGGTATCAGAAGTGGCTTATATGAAAGGCAAAGGCCTCTAGATTACGCTTATTTTACCAAAACGAAACATGATCATGCCTTGATTTTTAATGATTTAATTAGGACAGTAAGGTCTGACTTTGCTTAGACAAAAGTCTTGTCACTTAACAGAAATAATGTCCAGATATATATATATATATATATCGAATATAAAGTCATGCTGCAATGGAAACAAAATAAATATTGTGTATGACTCCCATGAGCTTGGAGGACTGTATCCATACATCTCTGCAATGACTCAAATCACTTATTAATAATGTCGTCTGGAATGGCAAAGAAAGCGTTCTTGCAGGACTCCCAGAGTCCATCAAGATTCTGTTAATTTATCTTCAACGCCTCCTCCTTTCTCTTACCCCAGACATGCTCAATAATGTTCATGTCAGGTGACTGGGCTGGCCAAACCTGGAGCACCTTGACCTTCTCCGCTACATTGCAGATCTCTCATACGGCCACACACTGAATGTAACGCCAAACCATGATTTTTCCTTCACCAAACTTGACTGATTTCCATGCGGGTTCCACTAGGTCTTCTGTAGTATTTGTGATGATTGGGATGCAGTTCAGCAGATCGACCTTCTGCCACTTTTCCAAGTGATACATTGAAAGTCAAGTTATTGTGTGTTGCTCTGACAACAAGGATCATGTTCATATTTGAATTTCAAATATATATTACATAAATTACATGTATATATATTTGCCCCCCTATGAATTTGTTTCTTTTTTAATTATTTCCCAAATGATGAATAACAAGCAAGGAAATTTTCACAGTATGTCTGATAATTTTTTTTCTTCTGAAGAAAGTCTTATTTGTTTTCTTTCGATTAGAATAAAAACAGTTTTAAATTTATTATTAACCATTTTAGGGTCAATATTATTAGCACCCTTTAAGCAAATTATTTTTTCGACTGTCTACAGAACAAACCATCATTATACAATAATTTATTCAGCTCGTTAACCTAAATAACCCAGTTAAGCCTTTAAATGTCACTTTAAGCTTAAGATAAAATAAATAAGTTATTAGAAATGAATTATTAAAACTGTCATGTTTAGAAATGTGTTGAAATCTTCTCTTCATTAAATGGAAATTTGAGAAGAAATAAACAAGTGGTCTAATAATTCAGGGGAGCTAATAATTCTGACTTCAACTGTATATTCAACCATTGGAATTGCAAATATGTACAACCATATATGAACACATATTTATAATATATTTGAATATATATGTACATTCTGGTGTTTCAAAAATAGATATGTGTAAAATAGCCCTTTTTTGCATATGTGAAATCCCAATATGCCATATTTGTAATTTTCATTTATTACCATTTATCCTTATACACCATACATCATGATATCACATTTAAAGAGAGACTTTTAACACTACATTTCAGTCTGTAACATCATAATGACTGTTTTCGAACATGTTTCCTATTTCATCATTGCAGAGAGAGAGTTCTTCATTGGTTCTTAATGTTTATAAAAAGGCTATTGTGTGTTTAGCTATAGTCAAAGATGTTTACCACTAGATAACTGTTGGTTGTTGTCTCTATAAATGTTTTTATTATTATTATTATTAATTTTGGCAGAACTGTATAAATTAATGAGTCAGTGATAGCACCACATGGGCTGCTGATTAAGCATTGACTCAGGCCAGTCTCTAGAGCTCTCAGTCCAAGGAGACTTGGTCCATTGTGTGCCACTTCATTTATACGACAGCACGGGATTCATTCTAATCAGTTAGTCACTTTTAATCGTGCCTGGAACGCATTTCTGTTTGCATTCATCAGGACATGTGAATGCGCTGAAGATTTCCTCAATGGTTAAACAATAATCGCTTGCGTTGATAATGTAAGGATTTACCATGTTATCTTTCTGTAATAGTTCGCAATGGCCAAAGATGCATTGAATTTCCAGATTTATGAATACTCTACTATAGTTGACCTTAGAAAAGGTAAAAGATGCCACCCACACACACACATCATCATCAGAGATGCTGCAGGCCTTTGTTTTGCCTCTTGAGAGACGTTCGATTTTATCGGAGCGAACATTTTAGATGATAATTAATCTCTTTGCTTTTCATACCACAACACCTTTCAGTGTGTTGTAACTCTTGGTGTCATCTGCGCAGCGAGAAATTGTGGCTACAAGTCACCCTAATGCAATTAGCACGTCTTTTTTTAGACATAATTTGATGTTTGGGTGCCCTATGATTGCAGAATTCCTTGACTTGGCTTCCTGTGTGTGTGTTAAAAGGAGGCTGTTTCCACTGGCTTGCTTCCCAAGGTTTTCTCTCTCTTTCTCTTTGTCTTTTTAAATGTCTTTGCCCTTTCTACGACAAATTGCTGAACTGTAATCACAGTCAGAACTCGCATACTCTTTATGCAGAGTGTGCATATCATTTGCACATGTCCAAAGTCGAGTGCCATTTCCGTTTGGGAGAATCGGAGAAAGTCCTCTTGGATTCCCTCTCCAGCCATGCTCTACATAAGAGAGGTACTTCTTAAATGCATAAAACATCTCTTCCCATTAAAACCGCGATTCTTCCACTTGCGATTTAGTCTAAGAGGTTTAAATACAATTTGAGTGAAATGATGGTACCATCTAGAGTTCATTTGCATGCTAAAAGCGCTTTATAGAGACGTCAGTGAACATTTTTCATGGTAATCTCAAAGTTTAACGTCTGCTCTTCAAAATAACTTTTCCTTTAAGAGTTATGACGGTTTAATGGCCTCATTTATTTTCTTTCCTTTTTGTTTTGCAACTAACAAAAGCTCAATAAAGATAAAGAAGTTTTAAGAGATGTCTTTAAAGTTATGAGTATGAACTAATGCTGAACAATACATCATTTGTGCATCGATATCGCAACGTGTGGATCTGCAATAGCCACATCGCTGGATTAGATTTAATATATTATTAAATTTTATATTTTTAATTGGGGCGTCATGGTGGCGCCGTGAGTACCACAATCACCTCGCAGCAAGAAAGTCACTGGTTCGAGCTCCGACCAGGTCAGTTGGTATTTCCCTGTAGAGTTTGCATGTTCTCCCTGTTTTCATGACATCTTGTCTTGTTGATATGATTATACACATCACTACAGAAGTGGCTGTCAGTCAATTCGGTGGAAGGGGAAACCACACTCCTATGTCACATTGTGGTGGGCCTTGAAATTTGAGGGAACTGGATCCTATTTTAACGTCGGGGAATTTAAATAAACAGACTTAATGTCTTTATATCACCTCAGTATGACTATAGACACACTATACCTACACACAGTTCTGTCCAAACAGCTTACAAAAGAGGATTTTCTTCATAGGAGCCCTTTAATGTTAATTTTGTCACTGTTTTGGAGCACACTAGCTTATAGACGTCCTTCAGACTGACATACTGATACAAACAACCTTTATTTTGATTGCGTGTGAATTTAAGTAAACTGGCATTCGTCTAAATTAATTCATGGGAGCGTTGAATTGTTCACATGCATGGTGCCATTGTATAATTGTTCAGCATGTGCTCTGAAATACAAAATGATTGCTTGGATTTACAATTTTTTTAAGGTAAGTGCTTGCAAACAATTTATATGGGCTGAATTTAAACAAACAAATTAAACTTGGTAATGTTCAACTTCATTTGTTTGTCTAAATTCAGCCCATATACATTGTTTGCAACCTCTTGCCTCTTACCCTAAACAATTTAGTAAATCCAATCAGTAATTTTATTCCGGTGTGTATGGATGCAACTGGTTGTTGTGTCACATGGGGATATTGTACTGAAGATACTGAAGTACCCTCCTTGGATTTACTCATTTAATCCTGGCCGCCTCATGAGTAGATGTCTTGAGTTTTCAATTTAGCCGAGTGAAAGAAAATAAATAAACATTTCTCCCGCTCTAATCGATTTTTATGACATGTCCTGATTTGTACATCTACTGAGCCGGTGCCCAGCACAAATATTCGCTGTGGAGAGAATTATCAGACGAGTGTGGCCGAAATACAGCGCAGGCCTGTTTGTCGGTCCCTAGCTTAATCTATAAAAACATGATTATGTACACAAGGCTTACATAGATTTCCCCCAACGTTGCCATTGATTACACTTCAACTCCAAAAGCTGTTCTCCTGTAGGTCATTTTGTGTTGCTGCCAAACACACACAGAAAATAGCAAATGTTAATTCAGGCTTCTCAGATCTGCATAAGTTTGATCCACTGAGCACGTTTGGGTGAGTGGGCGAAATCCCAGATTGTAAGCTTTAACATGGGCAAAGAGCAAATGCGCTGGGTCTGAGGTAAGCGCTAAGATGCGCAGCTGGACTTTAAAGACTGAATCTTGAGGTGTGTGTTTTTACGTTTACATTTTTTAAGTGTGTGTCATGAATCTAAACTTGCTTTCTTTTTGTCTGAATGAAAAGAGAGCGCTACAAAATGGCTTGGTACAGAAGAAGTAGAAGGAAGCGATGCCAGGGTTACACAAGGAATGTTTGGGTTCAGACCACAATCCTTCATAGTCCTCTTTCACCAAGGACATGAACAAACACATTCATTCACGATCAATAGAGGTGATAAGTGATTCTTGGAAGATGCTTCTGAGGACAAACAGCACTTATATAGATAGATAAGCTGAAAATGGTTACATGAATGCAGTTTGATGTGAAACAAAATGTGAGGATGCAAAGGGTTCGACTTGAAGCGTATTTGTCATCAGTCAGGCTCAGTCTAGTTCGTTGGTTTTGGAAGAATTTATTGATACTTGTTGACATTTATTCATTAATTTTTGTTAGGCTTAGTCCGTTATTTATCATGACTCACCACAGCGGAATGAACCACCAACTGTTCCGACATGTATTACACAGCGGATGCCCTTCCAGCTGGAAACACCTGCACACCCGTTCAGACATAGACTCATAAACTACGGCCAACCACCTATAGCGGATGTCTTTACATTTTGGGAGAAACCGGAACACCCAAAGGAAACCCATGCCAACACGGGAAGAACATGCAAACTCCACACACAAGGGACCTTTTTGCTGTGAGGCGACAGTGCTAACCACTGAGCCACCGTGCCGCCCTTAAATGATGATATATTAAGATTTACTGACTTCTGACTGAATGTTGAGCACAGTTTGAGATTATATTGAGAACTCTAGAAGAGATACAGTAGATATGAGATTAAAAATGTCTTATTCTTAAATTAAAACTCCACTTATTTTTGAAAATAAGCTACAGTAGAGGCAATGATGTTGCACAGCACCTGGAATTCAGCTAATCTTCTGTATTCTGGTTAAAATAGATATGGTTTTATGATCTGCACTGAAGTAATTATGTTTTAAATCATCTCTCACAATAGTCTTCATTGTTGCAGGGCATGTACCCTGTCGTGTTGGTTATATTGATGGAAATTAACAGTTTTTCAGACAACAAAAATGTC